AGCCTGACAGGATGCCGAGCTAAACCCTAGAAAACTGGTTCCTGAATCTTCAGGTGATCCAAAGAACCTTACAGAACCGTAAAGAACTGAAAATGATCCAAAAGATCTCTTCTGACCTTTATCAGAACCAGGAACCATCAGGACCTGAACCAACCCTGGCCACTGAGAACCTTCATCAAACTGTGCCTTACCTGTTCAGGAGCACCAAAGCATATCCCATAATGCACCAGGACCAGAGAGTTTTCAGAGATGATGCTGGAGGCAGAGCTACATTTAAAATATTTTATTTGTTTTAAAATATACATCGTTTACAAACTGAGAAAATAAAATCATTAGTAGTTTTAACAGTCAGAGAGGTTATCCCCAACAGGAAGTGGACAAAGAAACAGGAAGTGAACCAAAAAACCCCAACCACCACCTTGAAACTGTTCACCTGCACCAGGTCAGCCAGCACAGAGGCTTCACGTGCGAGAAGAGGGTGAGGAGGCAGGGCTACAAATACCTGGTCGACATGCTGAAAAGTCCAGCTACAAGTTTAGAAGTTCTTGTGTTCGTTCTCAGTGAGTTTGTGGCCTACCTGAGGACTGCGTTGAGGTCTGGGTCCATGGATCACCGGGAACATTCATGTTGCATTTCAGGACAATCAGAAAACTGAACACTGATCACAACCATGAAACTGAAAACACACAAACGTCTCATGCTGCTTCAGTCCAGATCATTTGATGTTTTTGAGTCCCGACTGTTGAAGCTTCACCTAACTCAAAGTTGACCAAACTCCAGATTTAATCAGCCCAAACAAAATGATCTGGTCATCTTGAACTGATCAGAGGTTTTCTACTCTGGTCTGGTCAGAACATACACCAGCTCTCTTCTCTAAGGTTCAACAAGAACTCAGGACTTCTATTTTTTAGTAATCTATGACAGATACGCTGTTATTTTGTAGGGTTGTTGAGCTACATTTTGAAACTCCAAGTTTAAACTTCCTGTTTTTCCTCCAAACATCAATCAGAGGTCTGATGAGATGGCAGGAAGGATCTATTGGGGTGGCCATGATGGAAACGGGAGGAAGAAGAGCATGCTGGGTAATATCCGAATCTGCTGAATCACTGGTTTTCATGGTGACAGAGGGGCAGCAGTAAGCAGCCCAGCAGACGGAACCACAGAATAAAAAGTAAGCCTCAGTCTGTGTTAAAACTAGAAGTCTGATCAGAGCACTTCTTGACCCGTGAGCAGCGGAAGGTTCTGGTGGTACCACAGGTTCTGTTTGATGGTTCTACAGGGTTTCATGGAGGAGATATGAGTTTTGTCTAATTTATAAATCCAATTCAGACACAGATTCAAATCAACTAATGGTCAATCCAAGACAGGGGGACAGGAAAGAGACGGAGACAAACAGGAAGTGGTCCAGGCGGATGTTCTGACCCAAATGCAGGTTTGATGTTTGATCAGCCAAAGCTGAGGAGTGAGACCAACAGAAAGCCGTCTCTTCAACTAATGTTTTATTTAGAAAGGGCGTCTGAGAGTTGGTTTTATTTTTGTAAACGATTACTACTGAATCTGAAATAAAACAGAACACAAGAATTGTTTAATAAATTCTGAGGACAGGAACAAACGGGATGAAGATGAAGGCGACCCTGACAGATTCTAAAAATATTTTCACAAGAATCATTAAAAATGCACAAGATCAGATGGAACTATTTATACACACACTTTCAGTTTAGACATCCTAAACATAAGTGACGGCTGTGGTGTAGAGGTTGGGAAGCCGGCCTGGGACCAGAAAGTCAAAGTTCGACTCCCCGCCATGCCCACGTCGTGGTGTCTCTGAGCAAGACACCTAATCCCTAACTGCTCCACGGGGGCTTACATAGCTGTCTGCTGCTCCACCTGGGTGTACCTCAGGTGTGATGGATTAAATGCAGAGAACTCATTTTGTCAGTGTTTCCCCCTAGGTTACTTGTCTTGGCAGGGCACTTGTACCTTTCTTTGATTTTTGCCAAGAGGGGATGGGGAGGTTGGTGGAGACACATCTGTGTTGCACACTGTACCAATGGTTTTCAAGCAGGGGGAGGGGGTGACAGCTCAGCATGAGGAGAAAGAAGCACTACCTCTATAGCTTTTTAGCACGTCGCTAGCTTAGCGCTAATTCAGTGTCAGCAGATGTTGACCGGGGGGGGGGGGGGGGGGGGGAGGAGATGATGTCGTATGGCAGTGCTGGGTGCGTGGGGGGGGGCGCCCGCCTGTGCAGAGTTAGATGCCCCACAGAACGTC